GCCCGCTGCCAGCGGCCCGCAGAACGAGCTCACGACGCACCTCCTAGCCCCGCAGCGCTCCCAGCCTGCTCGACCCGCCCCGCCCCCTGCCCGGAAAGGAAAGCAAACGCTTTCTGTCCTGTCCGGTCCGGTCCGGTCCGGTCCTGTCAGGAAAGGAAAGCAAACGCTAACTGCTGCGTAGAAGACAGCACCTCAGAGGCCTGCTGCCCTGGGCGGGTGATGCCTGTCAATACATGCCGATAGTCTTCGAAAAATCGACATTGTCATCCTTTGCGGTCACTGCCAGAACTCCTGCTGCTTATACCTCCCTGCTAGGACCTAGCTCGGCGTGCATCTCATTGGCTAGCTCGAGCCCCGCCTTGCAGAACGGTTCTGTTCCATTGGCCGCGGGGGGCGGGCAGATCATGCGTTCCCGCGGAGCATCTTGGGACATGTGGTTCGCTCACAGGGAGGGAGGTTCAGACTCCCAGCGGCCTCCGCGCGGGCGAGGCGGCCGGAAGTGCGGGGCTTGTGCGGCGCTCAGGTGAGGGCGGCGCGGCGAATGAGGGGCGGGCGGATATCGTGCGGGTGTCGGCGGCGGGGAGCAGCACGAAGTAGCATCCGCGCGGGCTCCGCTTCCTCCTGCCCCCGCCCAGCGGGTCCCGGCCGCGTCCTTTCCGCTCGGCCCGGGCCGGGGCAGCTTAGACGCCTCTTCCCGCCTCCCAACAAAGCCCCTGCGGGAGGCGACGCGGTCTACCGCGGCACCGGACTGAGCTCACTTCCTCGTCATTTCAAGCTACCGTTGTCACTGCTGAGTGGGGTTTCTTCCTGTGTACGCCTGTTTGTAAGAGATCTGTTGCTAAAACATACTTGTGTTGATAGTGTTTGGGTCATGTGGTAAGTGTGATGGTTCAAGAAAAATGCTAGAGGCAAGGAAATTTGTTGGTCATATTTTATTGGAACAACTGTATAGTTGTGAGGGTCACCGCCCAGCTTTAGGGTTGCACTGTACTCTTCCTCTGCTTTTTTTCCTCAGATGGTTCAGGAAGGCAGGGTACAGTTGTACCCAGAAGCTTGTCTATGCCCATCCCAAATCTACAGCTGGTCCCGTTGATCATGGTAGAATCATAGAATCACAGAAATCAGTCAAAGCAGGACCATCCCCAGGTAGATTTTAGTAGCCAAAGCTTTGTCAAACCAGGCATGAAAACCTTCCAAGGATGGAGATTCCACCACCTCTCTGGGTAACCTGTTCCAGTGCTTTACTACCCTCCTAGTGAGAGTTTTTCCTGATATCCAACCTAAACTTTCCTTGCTGAAACTTGAGACCATTGCTCCTTGTTCTGTCATCTGCCACCACTGAGAACAGTCCAGCTCCATCCTCTTTCCAACCTCCCTTCAGGTAGTTGAAGGCTGCTATCAAATCCCCCATCAGTTTTCTCATAAGCTTCCTTTTGTTTTTAAGCTCACCAAAGAGTTCTCTGCTGAGCCAAGCTGGTCACCTGCCATGTTTGCTATTCTTCCTGCACATCGGGATGATTTGTTTCTGTGCCCTCAGTAAGGTTTCTTTAGAATACGATCAGGTCTCCTCGACTCCTCTCCCACTCAGGCTGACCTCCCAGGGGATCCTGCCCATCAGTTCCCTAAGGGAGTCTCTGCTTTTCTGAAGTCCAGGGTCCTTACTCTGCTGCTCTCCTTTCTTCCTTTCCTCAGGATCCTAAACTCAAATCATTTGAACTCAATCCTGGACTCGGTCATCAACAGGTATCAGGGTGATTGAAGTCCCCCATGAGAATCAGGAGGACTTCTGTGATTGGGAAACTGCTACTAGCTGTCTGAAGAAAGCCTCATCCACCACATCTTCGTGGTCTGGTGGTCTATAGCAGACATCTACCACAATATTACCCTTGTTGCTCTCCCCTCTGACCCAAACCCAGATAATTTCAACAGGCCTATCTCAGTTTCATACTGGTGCTCTGAGCAATCATATGGCTCTTTTACATAAAGTGCAACTCCTCCTCCTCTTCTTCCCCGCCTGATCTTCCTGAACAGTTTGTACCCATCCATGACAGTGCTCCAGTCATGCGAGCTTCCGCCAAGTCTCTGTTATTCCAATCCCACCCTAGTTCTGAGACTGCAAGGACTTCCAGTTCTTCCTGCTTGTTTCCCAGGCTCCATGCATTTGTGTACAGACACCTGAGGTTGCCCTGTAACTTGCGGTTACAGACACCTGATTGCCCTACTTGCTCATGAAGGACAAGTGGGCAACCACTTGCCCCCCTCCTCCTTTTGTTTCTTCCAGGTCTCCCATTTTCACTGCCTCAGGGCTTTGGTCTCTATCCCCCAGGAAACCTAATTTAAAGCCCTCCTCACTAGGTTAGCGAGTCTGTCTGCAAAAATGCTCTTCCCTCTCTTCATCAATTGGATCCCATCTCTTCCTAGCAATCCTTGAAAAAACATCCCGTGGTCAAAGAAGCCAGTAACCTGGATTACAGCCTGCAGTACACTGAAAAGTAACAATTGCAGTGTTCAGCCTTAGACTGACTGACAAAGTTTACTGAGGGCACAGACACACTTGGAGAAGTTTTAAAAGGGGAGTGTTACAAAAGGGTAGCAGCTGATACATTCACATTGTTAGGTGTAGACAACCAAAATGTAGCAAATATGCTTCAACTTTAAGGCTGGCTGGAGCAGTATTGAGGGATTTTGCTACATTTGTATCATTCCAGGCTTGTCTGCACCCACAGTAGAAAGTAACACCTGCTGCCCTTTTGAAAGGCCTCCAAATGTAGGCATATGTCCTACCCTGAGTGATTGTTACAACGTGGTCAGTTGCCAAGGAGCTATTTTTTTGCAGTACCTGATAGGAATTAAGGTGATGCTGGATTAATGTTGCTGAGTTTAATAGATCTGGCAAAGCTCAAGGAGAGGTGAAATGTATAGTCATAGCACATACTTGAATAAAGGCACAGGCCAGTTTTGGCAGCCTCCAGATCCAGAACTGCAGGACAGAAGTCCTTTATGGGGAGAGAAATCTGCACAACTTCCTGTATTACATTGGCTTGGGGTTAGGAAATTGGAGGAGACTGAAGCTGGTTGAGCAGCTGCAGAGGTAGGTTAGAAGAGACTGATGAATACTGTGAACATAGTTTCATAGTTGATAGGGTTGGAAGGGACCTGAGCAGATCATCAAGTCCGACCCCCTGCCATGGCAGGAAAAAGTACTGGGATCAAACGACCCCAGCGAGGTGTCGTGATTCTGTGGTTTTAACCAGGCTTTTTTTCCTGAACTGAATGGCTCCAAACTCTTCCCACTCCCTCCATCACAATCTGTAAAGCACCTATACAGGAGGGCCCTGCCCTTGGTTGACCCTAAGCACTACTGTAATAGACATGATTGAGGCCCATGGCACATGTTCATTTAATAGTGTATTGGGATCCGTTCCTTTATTCCAACAACTGAACCTTCCGTCATGTCACATGTGCTGAGCAGGAGGCACAACTTTGGGATCAGGGTTTGAATCCTGTTCCCAGGCTCCCCCTGCACAGCCAAGTAGGAAGCTTGGGTGCCTGATGAACCAGCATGGTCCTGGGGCTGAGACCACTGGTCAGATAATTAGTAGTCCCAGTCCCAGCCCCAGGACTACACAGTAGTGTCAAACTTGCTCTGTTGTGGTCCTGCGGCTGGGATTGGCAATCAGCTGATTCTGCACCAGAGCCAGTCCCAGAGCAGCTGGGATCAGGTTGCATGGTCGGGACCTGAAACCAACTGTAAAATTACAGTATTACACATTTTGTGGAATAATTTTGTGGTTTATTTCCTTTTTTATCATGCCATTAATTGTATGAATGTGTGGCTGACATACTATTTAAGACATGATTAGCTGGTCTTTTTGAGTTCTTTACAACAAAATAATTGTTTTAGTATTTTTATGTTGTGAAAAACGAGTGAAAACTGAGAGCCAGCATTTTCTAAGGGTCCCTTGAATCTGAAAAGGTTGAGAACCACTGTGATCCTTAACATTTTTAGTCTCAAGGGACCCCTTAAGTGTAATGTCTTCCAGGGGCCTAATAGTGATGAGCTGAGGATGAGCAGGGAGAGTGGTGACATGCAAAGCTAGAGCAATGTGAAAGAGGTATGAAGCAGAGAGAGTTGTAAACTAAAAGATTTGGTACTGGAGATAAATGAGTCCTTGTTCTTTCACAAGAAAAGGAAATGGCTATTGTTTGTTCCAAAATTCAGATTAAGAAGTAAGACCACAAATACTGAGGCAGCTGAATCAGGTTACTTTATTAAAGAGTCAAGTACATACATTAAACTCCCTTAGGCCAGGAAATTAAAATTAACTTCAGGTAGTCATGAAATTATGCTTCCTTTAACTAAGTTGCTGTAAACGGTACAGTGAACAAACTGAAAGAACAACTGGTATGTGTATTTGTTTGAAGTATGCTAATGAATTCCCAGGCTTCACAGACAGAATTATTTTTTAGACATTCGATTTCATAGACATTCAGAGTGGAAGGGACCCCGGAGGATCATCAAGTCCAGCCCCCTGCCCCAGGGGCAGGAAGTCAGCTGGGGTCATAGGATCCCAGCAAGATGAACATCCACATTTCTCTTGAAGGTGTTCAAAGTGGGTGCTTGAATCATCTCCAGCGGCAGGCTATTCCAAACCTGGAGGGCTCGGACAGTAAAGAAGTTCTTCCTTATGTCCAGCCTGAATCGGTCGTGAAGGAGTTTGTGACCGTTCAATCTTATCATCCCTTGGGGCGCTTTGGTGGACACCTCTGATAAACTTATAGGTGGCCACCAGATCGCCCCTGAGCCTGAGCTTTTCCAGGCTGAAGAGTTCCATGGCTCTCAGCCTCTCTTCATAAGATCTGTTTTCCTGACCTCTGATCATGTGCATGGCTCTCCTCTGTACTCTCTCAAGCGTCTCCACATCCTTTTTCAATTGTGGAGCCCAAAACTGGACGCAATACTCCAGCTGCGTTTGCTCGCTTTACTAGCCACAGTATCACATTGAAGGCTCATGTTCATCTTGTGGTCAATCACAACGCCCAAGTCCCTTTCATCTGTAGTGCTAACTAGCATAGCACTGCCGAGCCTATAAGCATGCCGCAGGTTTTTCCTCCCAAGGTGGAGAACCTTGCATTTTTCGGTGTTAAACACCATCAGGTTTTCATCCGCCCATTTCCTGAGCCTGTCAAAATCTGCCTGGATCACCCTCCTGTCCTCAGATGTGAATACTTTACCCCAGAGTTTGGTGTCATCGACAAACTTGGCCAGTCTGCTTCTGACACCAATGTCCATATCACTGATGAAGGAGTTAAATAGTATAGGCCCTAGGACAGAGCCTTGACGGACCCCACTAGTCACAGGGCACCACGACGATTGACTTCCATCAACCACCACCCTCTGGGTCCTACCGCAGAGCTAATTCCCCAGCCAGCGGATCGTGGTAAAGCCGAGGCCACAGTTAGCCAGTTTTCCCAAGAGGTGATCATGGGATACCAGATCGAAGGCTTTTTTTTGAAATCAAGATACGTGACATCAATCTCTTCCCCCTTGTCCAGGTGATGGGTCACCTGGTCGTAAAAGGAAATAAGATTGGTCAAGCAAGACCTACCCGCAACAAACCCATGCTGCCTATCCCTCAGGATATTGTCGTCAGCTAGTCTGTTAAGAATGGCCTCTTTGATAATCTTTTCCAAGACCTTCCCCAGGATAGAGGTCAGGCTGATAGGCCTGTAGTTTGCCGGACCTACTTTCCTCCCTTTCTTGAAGATAGGCACCACATTGGCCTTCTTCCAATCTTTGGGCACTTCACCAGAGCGCCAGAAGTTCTCAAAGATCTGTGCCAGGGGCTGAGCTATGATGCTAGCCAGCACCTTGAGTACCCTGGGGTGTAAACTGTCAGGACCGGCTGACTTGAATGTATCCAGCCTGTCAAGGTGTTTCTTTGCGGGATCAGCTTTGATGGAGGGTAAGGAATCTTCCTCACCCAGGCATCCCTGTCCCGCAGTGGGCAGGGGCATCCCATTGGTCTGGTGAAAAACTGATGCAATGTACCCATTTAACAAGTTGGCTTTTTCCTGGGCATCTGTTGTCAGTTGTCCCATCTGGTTTAACAGGGGTCCAATGTTGCCCTTGCTTTTCCTCCAGCTCCCCACATATCTAAAAAAGGATTTTTTATTGTCCTTGATACTTGTAGCTAGCTAGATTTCTGTGACAGCCTTGGCTTTCCTGGTTTGCTCTCTGCAGGTCCGGACCAGTGCAGAGTATTCCTCCTTGGTGGTGGTTCTAAGTCCTCCATCCTTTGTAGGTCTTCCTTTTAAGACGCAGGAGGTCCACTAGTTCGCAGCAGAGCCAAGGGGGCTGCTGTGCCCTTTTGCTGCCTTTCCTCCGAGACGGGATATTCTTTGCTTGTGCATCCAGGATCGCTCCCTTGAGGAGCAACCACTCGTCCTGAACTCCCCTCCCCTTTGGGTTGTGTCCCTTTAGGGCAGAGCTTTCCAAACTTTTCATGTTGGTGACACACTTTTTAGACATGCATCATTTCGCGACACAGTAATTCAGTTCCGGGGGAGGGGCCAAGGGAAGCAGACACGAGTAAGGGAGCAAAATTTTCTGCATTTCGCGTGACACACCTACACACTGCCGCCGACACACTAATGTGTCGCGGCACACAGTTTGGAAAGCTCTGCTTTAGGGCCTCACTGACAAGCCTCCTGAGCTTGTCAAAGTCAGCTTTCCTGAAGTTGAGGACTCCTGTATTACTGACTGACTTGCCAGCTTTACGGCAGATGGTGAAGGCAATCAGCTCATGGTCACTGTCACCCATCTTCCCTTCGATCATTATGTCGCTGATTAGGTCAACCCTGGTTGGCAGTACCAGGTAGAGCAGCACTTTACCTCTCGGCCCATAGACTTCCTGCGTCAGATAGAGGTCATCCACGCACAAGAGAAAGCTATGCCACCGCTCGGATTTGGCTGAGTGCTCCTCCCATGAGATGTCTGGGTAGTTAGTCTCCCATGACAACCGTGGACCGGGAGCATGCAGCCTCAGCCAATTCCCTGGCAAACTCCTGGTCAAGATCTTGACCCTGTGTAAGGGGTACGTAGCTTTCCTTGACATAGAGAGCTACACCTCCGCTCCTTTTCTCCACTCGATCCCTCCTGTACTGGGTTTAGCCATCTATACCTGTGGTCCAGTCATGGGTGGAGTCCCACCAGGTCTCCATTATCCCTATGACATCATAGTAATTTGCGTTTAGCAGGAGGACAAGTTCCTCCTGTTTATTCCCCAAGCTCCTGGCATTTGTGTATAGGCACGCAAATGTACCCTTTGGGGCCCTTGCCTTGCTTACAGTTAGTTCCAGGACTGGGGCAGGGGTGGGATCCCTAGAGTGCCTTAGACTGCTAGCTTTGCAAGGGTTGCTCAGCGGGCCAGCAGTGGTGGCAGTCTCCCCATCCCCTGGCGGGCTTAGTTTAAAGCCCAGTGGAGCAGGTCAGCCAGTCTGGCTGAGAAGAGCCTCCTCCCCAGCGAAGAGAGGTGGAGGGCCGTCTCTTCCCAGCAGCTCACTGCCTCTCTCTCCAAAGAGCAGGCTGTGGTCATGGAAGCCAAAGCCTTCCTGGCTTGCTGAGGTAGTAACACTGAAAATGGCTTCCTTATGACTGACAACATGGGGAGGTGCTAACTTTGTTTAGATGATATTGCTATTTTTGAAATGTATCTTGGTGCTTGTCATTCCTTATACTTGTCCCTTAATTTAAGCAGGGCTACATTGCTCTCCAAGGTAAACATTTCTAAAATGGCCCTTCTTCCCAATGCATCTTTTTTTTTCTTTTTAAATTATAAATCTGGCCCCTCCTGTACAGGGCTGCACTTCATCTCAGTGCTTAATAATGTTTAAAGCTTAGTCTTGGCACATATGCTCAAAAGCTGTCCTAACCATGTTTTAACTGGAAGAGGAAAGGAACAAAATCTCATTGGCTTGAAAACTTTTTAAAAGATGGTTTCTTAACATAATTTGTCATGGTGTTTTGTAGAGCGTCCTTGACCCAAAGAGAGTACTGAATTAAAAGGCTGTCTGTGGAGGTTCTTCAGCAACATTTCCTGTTTCTCAGGACAGCTTTCCTGGCCACAGAAGGCAGAGGAGGAGATCAAGGTAAGAGTAGGAATTCTAGTGATATATTTCTGACACAGGAGCACCTCCCAAGCCAAGGGTATGCCTGACCTCCAGAGCCAAACAGAGGTGTCAGACTCATCTGGCTCCATGGGCTGGATGGAGGGTCCCTGAGCTATCCTGCAGGCTGTACTAGGACCGACTTCCTTGTTCAGCACCTTTAGCACTAGGTTCAGCCTGTGCATTGCACACAGCACGTGTTGGCCTTAGAACTCCCTGTGCAAGCAGCATGTGGGGTCAGCACCGGGTGTGGCCTGGCCACAGCATACAGGCTGGACCAGCACTGTAGGCATCATGGGGTCAGTCTGGGGCAGTGCCCCAGTACCCTTTGCCCAACCCATGTGCTGCATCTATCCCAAGGTTAACACAAACTGCATGCAGGAATGGGCTGGCCATGAGCAAGGCAGGCAGCACAGGTGGCCAGTTCAGGGTGTGCACTTGCATGTGACACCCTGCTAGCCTGGACTTTCATGCTAGTTCCAGCTCAGCCCAATTCACTCTAGCCCCAGAACCAGTGCACGGGGCTGGTCTGGTGGGGTGCTGCATGCAGCACGTGTCCTGGACCAATACCCTGTGCTGTGTACAGAGCACATGGGGCTGCTGTGTGGGGCCAGTCCTTTGACCCATGGGCCAGATCATATGGAACCACAGGCTGGATCTGGTTCACAAGCCACATGTTTGACACCCCTGCATTACAACATTTGTAGAACATTGAAATCAGTAAACTGAGCACTGTTTTATTTTGGTCCTTCAGGACTCAGAGTGATGTCAGAACTCAGTGATGAAGCCAGTGAATCAGAGCTGCTAAGCCGCAGCCTTTCCATGTGGCATGGCGTAGGTCAAATGCTGTGTCGAGAAGAATTGGATATTCCACTGGATCTACACACAGCCTCCTCCATTGGCCAATATGAAGTGGTTCAGGAATGTATTCAGCGGTAAGGAGCTGGGGGGGCACAGCTGACTCAGATTTTATTTCTAGATGACTGTAGTATAGGGTTCTATACTAGAACAAGGGCATGTTGCTGGGAAGCTGGACAGTAGCAGCTCTGTGGTCAGTGGAGGGTGACTCCTGGGACATATCTGTCCTGGGGAAATTAACCCCAAATTCCCACTGATTCAGCCACAGTGGGGTTAGAACAGGTGAGAACTTTAGTGTGGCAAACCCACCAGTACTAGTCTTGTTTTTAGCTGCCATACTAGTAAAAATGATAATTGCTACAGGAGACTTGGCTGTATTACAACCCCATCTGGTCTGAAAACGCTTTCAGCTGATTTCTTCTCTGTTTTTTAGAGGAGATGCGGATTTGAATAAGAGAAACTGTGGTGGCTGGACCCCGCTGATGTATGCCTCCTACATCGGCCATGATACAATTGTGCACCTTCTGCTGGAGGCAGGAGTGAATGTAAACATCCCAACACCAGAAGGGCAGACTCCACTCATGCTGGCCTCCAGCTGTGGCAATGAGAGTGTTGCCTATTTCCTCCTCCAGGTGGGCATTCAGTAATTACCACTGAAAACTGAAGTTGTATTATTTAAATGTAAGAAGAGTGGGCTCCATGAGCAGTTATAACAGAACTGTAAGAACAGTGCACTGTTGTAAATTCAGGTTCCTGATGGGGGTGCAACACAGAGGGGCAACAGCTCACAGGAGAGGTGATGCAGTAAAGAGCATTCTCTCTTCTCTTGAAGCAAGGTGCAGAGCTGGAGATGAAGGATATTCATGGCTGGACTGCCCTTTTCCATTGCATCAGCACTGGACACCAACAGATGGTCAAATTCCTATTGGACAATGGGGCTAATACCAACTGCAGGTAAGAAACCTAATAGTTCTCATCTCAGATATCTATAATTTAAAATTTGTACACTGTAACTTAGTTTATGAACATGTTCAACTGCAGCAGAGCTGAGGAAGAACATATGTTCCATTTCCTCCTCCCCTCTAACGCTTTAAGGAGATGAGCTTCCATGTACTATCAATGTCATCCTTGCAGTAAGTGTAATAAGCATAGTGCCACGTAAGCTGAGGAGTGGAATCCGCCTGCAGTACTACATCTAAGTCAACATCAAGTGGAATTTTGCTGCTTTTTCCATTATGGGCTGATCTTTATGAAAGTAAGAGAGCATCAAAGCTTGCTCCTGACTTAATTTGTACTCTGCTGCCTGCCCTGATTAAGCTAGTGCTTGTGTGCAGATCCTGCAGTCTTTGGGTATTCATACACACCATGTTGCTTTCATGTTCTTCTGATAATGCTCTGTTGGTAATTTGCTTATCAAACACGCTGCTTGGTATGTGAAGGTTATTTCTGCTTTATTCATTAATTCCCAATATTGCTAACTGCCAAATTGAAGACCAGATCTTCAGCTGGTATTAATCACCATTGCTTTGAAGTCATAGAGGCTAAACCTGTTCACCTAATCTACCCTTTAATCTCTGCTAATAGTTGTACTGATTGAGACAATTTATTGCAGCCGACCTTTTTTTTCTAGATGAGTTTTGTTGGACTAGGAATGATGCATTTCTAAGCACAACCCCATTTCCTTGATATTTATTTTTCCTTTGAAAGATGCATGTATTTTATGCAAATGGATATTTCCAGGTTCAACTTACATATTGCAGCAAATATTTTTTGCATTTGAATGTTTTTAAATAATTGTCAGTGGCTAGACTGGTAATTACTGGCGTTTGTGGAGTTCAGAGATGGTGTAGCTTTGCCAACAAAATCTTTCTGTGTGTACACTGTCTGTAGCAGGGGATGATAAGCACAGACTCATGTCACAAGAAGAAAAGGTTTTTCATACCTCTTTGTACCATATTAGAGGTCACAGAGATGAAACCTGCGGAGGCCTATGATCTGGCCTGTGGTGCTGCCTGTGGTTCTCAAACCAGCCCCATGTGCTACATGCAGCACACACCGACTCTAATCCTGTATGCTGCATACGGTGGGTGGAGCTGATCTGGTGTGTGCTGCATGCAGGGCTGAGCAGCATGTGGAGCTGGTCTGGGGCAAGTGCCGTGCAGGGCCTGCATCTGAACAATCCCACTTGCCACATGCATTGGCTGGCTCTGTGTGCTGCCCATAGCCCACATGCCAGTTCCAGCCCTGCATTCTGTGTGTAGTATGCATCAGAGTGGCTCCACATGCCACATCCACCCTCAGAGCCAGATAAGTTTGATAGCCCTGTACTATACTAACAGCTATTGGTACCTGGCAGCAGGATGTAAGTGTTTAGTTAAACATTAACTCATCCTCCTCTGAGTTCTAACTGCTCTGCATACCAAAGATCAAGTGTAGCATGAAGTTCATTCTCAGCAACCAAAAATTTACCCTGCTTATGTAAAAGGTACATATTAAAATATGTATGGGCTCAAACCAAGAACAGCATATGGGACAGATGGGTGTGTATTGTATGTGGCTATGACTTTGCAGATGTCAGTCACCTTTCCTGCTGCCTGCATTGGGGATGGACTTGACCATCATGCTTAGCTGATGGCAGAAACAGGAAGTGCCCTGGTAGAACATGCCAGCAACATTAAATAACACTTTTCTTGTTCAGCTTACCAAACAATACTTGGCTGCATGTGATTTTTTTTTTTTTTTGGTGAAGAATTAAAGTTAATTTGCTGCTGGTTAAAAAGTCCTGGACAATAAAATTCCCTGAAGATTAGTCAAGCCAGGGTTTAAATCCTGCCTCTGTGTTCACTGGGGGCATTCTGATCTTCCAGTCTCTGTTGATGATGTTTGACTAACAGATTATATTACATCTTTAATTAGTCCTGTCTCCACTGCATGGGCTTATTCTCTTTGTTATGTAGAGAGCCACTGTATGGATATACTCCTCTGATGGAAGCAGCTGCTTCTGGCCATGAGAGAATTGTCCAGTATCTTCTCAATCATGTAAGTGTCTGCTCAGTCCTTAGTAAATCCTAGAATGTGGGGGTTCAGACATGCAGTAGGAGAATACAGGATGTTGGGACATGAATCCTTTCAGGGGTGTCATGTGTTTTGGTTGCTCCTCTGCATTATAAAGTCCCTTCTGTTTTGAGATCCCAGTCTTCTTGGAGTGGTGTTACATTATTTCCAATATTATTACTAAATAAGAAGAGAGAGATCTCAGTGTTGGTTCTAGACTGTCTAATCTAAGCAAGAATGTAATGGACTCAGTATAGCAGCTTCTCTTACCATGCCTATCCCCTTCATTTGTCACTTGTCTTTCATTGTAAGCTCTTTGTGCAGGGGCTGTCTTTTTCCAATGTGTTTGCACCTTGTGCAGTCTGGAGGACCTCATTCTAGCCAAGGCTTCTAGAATCTATAATCCTTTCTAAACTGGGCAATGATATTAATGCCATGGTATCTTGAGTGCCTGGATTATTTCAGTGACAAATCATGCAGTTAAAGGAACCTTTTAATAGAATTTTTTGCTAAGACAAGCCATAACACCAGTTAGATATGATCTAGCCACTCCTGAAGATTGTTTTGGACCGGCCTGTGTGCATACTGTGTCTAATAGGCATCTGCAACCTTTCTGTTAGTGCCTTTGAATATACAGTCCACTTAGCCTCTGCCAGCAGTGACCTGGTCTTACGTTTAATTTGTCCAGTGTGTTAAAGAAGGATGCAGCAATGAAAATACAACTAGGAGTAAAAGCAAGCTAGTTTCCAGATGGTGGTGGCAGTGTTATTGGGCAAATGGAATGCTTTATAGGAGGAGGAGGGGACTGGGAGCAGGTTCTGAGATGGAAGATGTGCAGGTTCATCCATGAATCTGGAGTGATTTTACAAAAGTGAGCCTGTGCTTCCTGACATATCTTTAAAAAGACAGAAACAAAGGGAGAGAGGGATTGATGGGACAGGGAGGTTCTTTGATTCCTTTGAATTCTGCAGGTGGTGCCTCTTCAGTATGAACATGACAAGTATACATATTGCCTCCCTAAAGGGTGTGAAAGTAGATGTGAGAGATAATACTGGAACCACAGCACGGACACTGGCCATGAAGTATGGACACATGAAGATTGTGGGACTGATAGACCTTCACACAGCCCCTGTGCCCAAGGTCTTCTGCAGGGGCCCAGGTAACTGAGACATCTTTCTGTGTATGCATATTAAGGGAAAATGTGTGAAGGGGAAGTGATTTAAAGAAGACATACAAATGTGAAAAGGATCCTGGATGCTAGCCCTTCCTGGGTTTGAGATGCCTGGCAACAGCAAACTTCTGATGTAGGCAGCCATTGGTTACTCATTGCTTTCTTTCTGTTTCATTCAGTGTTTTTAATGAGACAACAGCAAATAAAACTCATTGGTGGTTAAGTTTTTCCATGAAGCTAATGGTCTGTTTTTGGACTGTAGGAAAATATGAAGATCTGAGCTCATCAGATGAATCATGCTCTGTGCCACAGAGACAAAGACCCGTTCGTAAGACCAAGGGCCCTAGCATCCATGAGGGGCCCCAAGCTTTGGCTAAGATAACAGCAGTTGGAATTGGAGGGAAGAAGCAATCTCGATATGGTGAGCATTAGTCAGGAAATCTAACTTGGATATTCTTTCCTGACCTCCTCAAGGTGCTGTGTTCTCACAGTGCTGATGTTACAGTATCAACATTTCCATGTCCCTTCTGTTTGGACTTTCCTGCTTTACTCTCCCAGCCACAAACAAGCTGTCTGCCTGAACAAACTGCTGTCATTCAAAGGTTTGTAAATCAGCTGGCTGTAACAAACAGCCCTCAGCTGAGCCTTGGGGTCAGGGAAGGCGTCAGCAAGGGTAGATGCTAATGAGTTTTTTGCTTATCTGAAAATGTTTTGTGATTGTCCTCTCAATTAATGCTCCCTCTCAGACACTTGAGCACAGCCTCTGTCCTTCACAAGATAAAAACTAAGAGTCAGGGAGAGATTTGCAAGCTAGTGAGGGGCAAAGATTAGTCTGGTCAGACACAGGATTGTTGATGCAGAAATTGCTCCTGGACCAGTCAAGCAGAATCTTACAGACTGCCAGAAACATTTGCTTCTGCCATAGAAATGGTAGTGGCAAGGGTGTATTGGGCAAGAAGGACAGATCTGATTTGAATATTAACTCCTTGGATTCACCTATTTTGATGTTCTTCTGGCTAGGAAGAAAATAGTTTAGTGTATGGTACCTCCTTTTGGCAGAGAGGTGATACTCCCACTGCAAATGTACTGACATATCTATACTGACCAATATTGAAGTTTCAAAGGATGCTGCCAGAGTGTTGACACCAGTTGTATGTCCAGTGGAAGCTCATATGGCATCTTTCCAAATTGTACATGGCTTAAGGGAGGATCTTCAGTAACTCTGCTTTCAGGAGCAGAAATTTTCACCCATAAAGTCTAGTGGCAGAAAGGAGAAAGTACTTCAGGCTCACTTTGCCAAAGGTGTGTATACTGCAGGGCTTGTTACCATGTGAGACTGATATAGTCAGAGCAACTAGCACTGATTAGGTGTGTATGTGCAGCTGTTCTCAGATGGAAGTAGCTGGCTTCCCTGTTCCTGATAATGCCAGGAACTGTTCAAAGGGGAATAAAATTTACCATTTAAAATGTAGTTTCCTTCCTTAATGATTAAATTGGACATTTGCTGGCAGCTTCATTCATTGTGTGACTGTTGTGTCTGGTAGAGCTGCACTCTCACCCCTTTGCTGTTCAACTCTATCTCTTGCACACAGAACAGGTCCCTCTTCAGGGCTATGTTACATTTAATGATGATGGCAGCTTTGAAGGAGAGGCTCTCCGGTACCGGGATGTCACCTCTCCAATCAATGAACAGGACGTGGAGAGCAGTAGCAGCAGGGGTATGTCACAGTCTCAGAGGAGGGTGGGGATCCATAGGTGATTTAAGTTTGAGAATGGACCAAATATAAGTTTGAATATTTCCTTTGCAGTCTCCCCTGGTTTTAGGAAGGCATCTTTCCCCTACCTTCTCCCATATCTGCATCTCGAATAATAGTCCCTTGTGTAGGAATCCTGAGCTGGCATAGCATTGGCTCCCTCCTGCCCTCTTACAGGAGAGTGAATTGCCTCAGCCTGGGGGTTGCACTAGATGACCCCAGGAGGTCCCTTCCAGCCCTGCTTCTCTGATTTTTATGATGAGAGTGAGTTGCCTACTGGAAGGAGCAAGGAAGGGAAGCGTGAGTAAAGGGCTAGCTCTTGGCTTATGGAAGAATTGGAGGGAAATGTTTGTCTTCCTGTTTTGACCTCGTGTCGTGACCTTAGAGTAACCACTCCTGGATGTTTGACACAAAAGACCACACCTGATGGCAAAAAGCCAAGCACCAAGAACAGCTTTGACACATGGGGGCAGTAGCAAATTCCTG